TCTTTTTATTTCTATGTGCTGCATGCTTGTGCTGCCTCAGTTTAACTTAAAGTTTAGTTAAAAATAAATACACAGGTAATGTTTTCCTCCTTGCCTTTGTTTTAAACTAAACTTTTAGCTAAACTGAGGCAGCACAAGCATGCAACACATAGAAATAAAAAGACTTGTTGGAAAAAAATATAAAATATAATTACGTATAAACATTTAAGACACACAAATGCATGTACAAGTAAAAGGAAAAACAATTAATATATTTAAAATAAATTTTAAATTACGTGTTCAAATATACACAAATTTATTTGAACTAACCTGGAAAAATAAATATGAAAGTCAATTAAAATATAAAATAGGAGATAAAGTCTTTTTTATTTAATTGGTGCTTTGTTTAGTGGTTCATATAATTCTGCTTTTATTTCTAATTATGTCAGTTTTGGACCTCGTACTGCAGAAGCCTGTTAATCATCTATTCCTTCATATCAGGYGTGTTGGAGCAGAGAAACAAGTAAAACATGCAGGGCTGCGGCCCTCCAGGACCAGGATTGCCCATGCCTGCCTTAGAGTTTGATCTTTTTCAGATATATTCGATGGTAAAAATGATTGATGCTTCCAAACACCATCAGTTATGACATCAGCAGGATTAGCAGATTTGTCATGCTTTTATTCTGAAATCTCAGCTTGAATTTTTGGACTCTTCATGCCAGTTTACACAGATATTTAAGAAAAAAACTGTTCTTGATTCAGAGTTTAACCCAACGTTAACTCAAGTAAAAATAAAAAAAAAAACACCAACTTTAGTGAAAGAAACTAAATAAACCCAACTTTCATCACCTCCAGTCTGACGTGTCTGCGCCCCCAGCGACTGGAAGAGTCCGTGAAATAAATGACCCCAGTTTGAGAGGAAATCTCCAGGCCGTTCAGGAAGGCAAAGGGGACGCCGTCTGCACCTGAGGACAGAGAGGACACGCCGAGGAAACAAGTGGGCTTCGTTTTAGCAAACCCACCACAACAACTACGTCGTACCCTCAGARCTGCCCACCAGCAGGGTCTTCTCTCCCGTTTGGGGGTCGACGCTGTAAAGCCCAAAGTAAGAGTCTGCAACGATCAGCTGACCGCGGTGGTCCAGACGGATGCCGTGAGGACGACCGCACACGGGCTCATAGTCTGTGCTGCTGCCTGCAACACACTGCATCATCAACCWCTTACTGCCAAACATTTATTACAGCTGTCTGAACAGTTTCAAACATTCAGAGTGTTTATTTCATTAAGTGATATTAGATCAAATATATAAAAATACAATCCTATAAATATAAGATTCAGTTACTGAGGAAGATGATGCTCATCGTGTTTCATTTCAGAACAAATAGTTTCTGTGAAGTCTGAACCTGGAGTAAACATTAAAAGGTAAACAAAGTAACAGAGGAAAGATGACATCATCCAAAACAGACGACTGAGGAAGACGAACCACATTCTGGTAGGTTCTGTCCCGTGTGTGTGATGAAGGTGAGGCTGTCATCAGGACCGATCCTCCACAGCTTCCCGTCTACAGTTCCTGTGTACACGTTACCTACAACACCACACACAGGTTGGGTTTTCTATCCTCGTGGGGRCTTTGCTTTGACCKCCATTCATTTTTCTRWTGTTTCTATGACCTGACCCCCTTCATCTGGACACGCAAGGGGTTTTAGTCCCACAGGGAGCATTGGGCCCACACAAGGCTGTGTCTGAAAAATGGTCCCCATGATGTAACGAATACACGTCCACACACATTTAAGACTTTCAAAGTTTAAGAATTAATTCAATCTTATATATAAAAACACGATGACGTTTTTAAAAGTTATTCCAATCATGGCCAACGAAAATTAAATCTCACTTCACATTTAAAGATAAAAACCAGACAAGAATCTAACTACATGAAGTCAACTTCTACTGGAAGCAATGAGGGACAAAATACAGAAAAGTCAAATAAAACCACAATCAGCACGTTTGAAATACAAGGTGAGTCAAAAGTCACAGGACGCCCTTTTATTTCAGGTAGAAAATGACAAATCTGAATATCCAGCAGTGATGGGGGAGGGGATCTAGAAAGTTCACCAGATACTTGCTGAGTATTCAGATTATTTTTCAGTTATTTTCCTTTTCTTCTTGAAATAAAATGGTGTCCTGTGACTTGACTCACCCTGTACTTCTAATACACAACATGTGTTCATACATGTGTGTTCAGTGTTTGGATGCACCAAACGCTAAAAAAAAAAAACATTTCTTCAAGCTCTGTTACCACCACACTGAACTTTAGTCAGAAAATATTTTGCTAACAGACAATCACACGAGCCACATATTCTTAAAGAGCTCACCTTCATCATCAGCGGTAAAGGATTCTGGTCCGTGGAGTTTTCCCGTGAACAGTCTGCGGCCCCTCTGCAGCCGGGTGTTGACAGCCAGCGGCCCCTCGAGGGCCGGAGGCGGCCCCTTCAGACTGAGAAACCAAACAGATACCAATGTCAGCAAAAAAATAATAAACCAACAGTCAAACAACAGCTGGACTCACGTGTGAGGCCGGGGGTCTATGGGGGACGGCAGCAGGTAAACTCCAACCACCACAGCCAGCAGAGCAGCAAACCATCGTCCCGACCTCAACGAAACAACCAGAGACTGGTTCTCAACAGGAGCCCACTGCTGACACCAGTTAGCTTTTGTTTTTATACAATATTTACCCTCCTAAACTTACAGAATAAAGACAACGAGACGTAGAAGAATCTAATGTTTCTTTCACCTTTTATAAAAATGTTTAAAATGCAAAACAGCCATTATACAAATGTCACAATAAAATATAAATACTGTAGATAAAAAAATTATTTATTAGAAGTATAAAAACAGTCTACTAATCATCCATCCATCCATTTTCTTCCGCCTATCCRGGGTCGGGTCGTGGGGGCAGCAGCTTCAGAAGGGAGGCCCAGACCTCCCTCTCCCCAGCCACTTCTTCCAGCTCCTCCGGGGGAACYCCAAGGCGTTCCCAGGCCAGCCGAGAGACATATTCCCTCCAGCGTGTCCTGGGTCTTCCTCGGGGCCTCCTCCCGGTGGGACGTGCCCGGAATACCTCACCAGGGAGGCGTCCAGGAGGCATCCTTACCAGATGCCCGAGCCACCTCAACTGGCTCCTCTCGACGTGGAGGAGCAGCGGCTCTACTCTGAGTCCCTCCCGGATGACCGAGCTTCTCACCCTCTCTCTAAGGGAGAGCCCAGCCACCCTGCGGAGGAAACCCATTTCGGCCGCTTGTATCCGGGACCTCGTTCTTTCGGTCATGACCCAAAGCTCATGACCATAGATGAGGGTAGGAACGTAGATCGACCGGTAAATCGAGAGCTTCGCTTTCTGACTCAGCTCTCTCTTCACCACGATGGACCGGTACAGCGCCCGCTTTACTGCAAACGCTGCGCCAATCCGCCTGTCGATCTCCCGCTCCGTTCTTCCCCCATTCGTGAACAAGATCCCCAGATACTTAAACTCCTCCACTTGAGACAGGGCGACCCCCCTGACCCGGAGAAGGCACTCTRCCCTTTTCCGGCTCAAGACCATGGCCTCGGATTTGGAGGCACTGAGCCTCATCCCGGCCGCTTCGCACTCGGCCGCGAACCGCTCCAGCGAGAGCTGCAGATCTCGTTCCGATGAAGCCAACAGGACCACATCATCCACAAAAAGCAGAGATGCGAGGCTAAGGCCACCAAAATGGATCCCCTCAACACCTCGGCTGCGCCTAGAAATTCTGTCCATGAAAGTAATGAACAGAATCGGTGACAAAGCGCAGCCTTGGCGGAGTCCAACTCTCACCGGGAACGAGCCCGACTTACTGCCGGCAATGCGAACCAGACTCTGACACCGGTCGTACAAGGACCTGACAGCCCGTATCAARTGGCCCGGTACCCCATACTCCYGGAGAACCCCCCACAAGGCCCCCCTTGGGACACRGTCGARYGCCTTCTCCAAGTCCACAAAACACATGTAGACAGGTTGGGCGAACTCCCATGCACCCTCCAGGACCCTGCTGAGGGTGTAGAGTTGGTCCAGTGTTCCACGACCAGGACGAAAACCACACTGCTCTTCCTGAATCAGAGGTTCGACTATCCGACGGACCCTCCTCTCCAGGACCCCCGAATAGACCTTACCAGGGAGGCTTAAGAGTGTGACCCCCCTGTAATTGGAGCACATTGGAGAGGTCACTACATTATTGTGGACCTGTTCTGTATGCAAACTGGAACAAGTCGTGGGACTGTGGGACACTTTCATGTTTTGCATTAACCAAAGTGTTTCCTGATGATGATGTTAATCCTACAGGGCAGAGGCCATTACAACTGTGTGGTGGGACTTTCTTTAGAGCAGGTGTAATGTGGCTTTAAAACATGTACAGACAACAGCTTATCTTAGAAATGTTGAAGATGTTGACAAAGACATTCTTCAGCTCATCTACAGTCTTTCAAAACCCAGCCAGGTGTGGTATCTGGACCTACCAGCTTACATGGATCAGTCCTGGACAGGGTCCCCTTTACGCTCAGATTTGTTTCAAATCCATCACAGAGACAAACAACCAGTCACTCAACCTAACAGTCATGTTTTTGGTCTGGGGAGGAAACTGGAGTGCCCAGAGAAAACCCACGCATGCATGGAAAGAACATGCAAACTCTACCCAGCTGGGCCGGGGATTTGATCTGGCAACCTTCATGCTGAGAGACATCCGCTCTACCAACTGAGCCAAATAAAATCAGAGTTCGTTAAGGAAGTTTAGCAATGTGAAGTCACACAGATCTGTGGTGAGGTTCAAAGTTTTTGAGGGTTTGAGTGTATGATCAGTGTCCAGATTTAAACTGACTGCTTCAGGACACATTTTACCCAACATTAACTTAAATGCATTAATTGTTTGCATTATTCCTATTTTAGTCTCTCTCTCTCTGGCATTTTGAAGTTGCGTATGTTTAAAAAAAGAATAAAAAAATTAGTAATTCAGCTGAACCAAACTGCAGTCTTTACAAACAGGAAGATGATCAGAGACCCTGAACGCATCACACAGAGATATTATGTTTATAAGAATCACGACACCAGTCTTTAAGTCGTTTTCAAGTTAAATAAGTAAATACACAACAACTCATCCTAGACATTGGTGTCTCCTGTTTTCTTGGTGAAATAGAAGAAAAAAAATTAAATGGACACAAGTGTTTTTTTTTTATCGCCACACCAGCTGTGCGTGATTAGCAACAGGTTCAACAATTACAGCCTGAAAACACACAGCTCATACTGCAAACAGACTTTCCGCAATAACAAGACTTTTTCATGTCCTTTTTAGACACGCCTTTTCAGAAAGATATAGAGATTAAATTACCTATTTTGAGTTTTCACCAACAACGACCGGACAAGTGCAACGCGCTCGCGCACAAAAAAAAGTCTGTCAAAGTTAAAATATAAAACAATAAAACTGCGTTAATTAAAGCAAATATGTTTCAGACTTACATTACAGAACTTTAAACGAGCGTCTTTCGTTGTTTAGACTTCAAAAGACGCAGCGTCCCCAAGCGAGAAGAGGACCGTAAATTCAAAGCAGCGTAAACCAGCACTTCCGGCGTACACCTTCAAAGTAAAAGCCTTACCCACATTGCATGTACATTCCAAAGTCTGACAGCAAAAAAAATGAAATGCTGAATTTGAAAAGTCCCAGATTCGATGACATACTAAATTTCATCTGCAGATTAATGAAAAAAATATAAAAATAAAATGTCCTGATGCACCTCAGTAATCCAGGTAAAAAATCAAAAAGAAAAAAATTGTATAGGTCTTCTGGACGGGTTCTTCTCTAATGAAAYGTTTCGTCTCTCCTCCAAGAGACTTCTTCA